GATTTAATGTTTTAATCACAGCGAGGATTGCTTGGCGTATGACAATTCCACTTTAAATTGTGTTCTAAATAGCACAACTCATGTTCTGAGAAAATACTTTTGCGGCAATAATAATGATCATTTTTGTGAACTTGACTTTGTTTGATGGCTTTGGAACATAGACGGTAACGACAGACATAAGGATGCACTCGTTGATAAAACAGTCCATTGGCTGGTTTGAACAGGTCTGATGACAGTACTCTAGAACCTCTGTTCACAGGTGTCATGCACAGACAGTATCCTAGTGATAGCCCCTTTCGTGCTCTTCCCAATATTGTGACAAACACCATATTTAAAAGATAGAATTTGAAGGAAAATGTAAGATATGCGCGTTTTATTTTCAAAATGTTTTGTTATTGACGCGGTGAGTCAGACAGCTATTTACACTGCAAAAAAATAAGGTCTATCTCTTTCCATAAAAATATAGGCTATAAACATTCTAAATATATATGTTTACCTTTTAGGCAAATTGCATAAATTAGAATAGTGATGTCTCAAAACGCATTTATAGTCCGTATCTCATATTTTCCTAACATATTCCTACCCTTAACTGCGTTAAACATGGTGTCACGTGGATGGAATATGCATGGAAATTATGCAGATGACGTTATGCATATTAAAACTAGGCGTTGTAAGCTCCATAAATGCCTATTTCAGAGAGGAGATTCATGTAAGCACAATCTTCCGCCGACTGGGTATGACAAAGGGAATTTTGCGCAGGTTCTGGCGTACGCATGGCTTTATAAATCTGAAAACTTTTGTACGTACGCAAAATCTAGCTTTTGTGCATACGCACACATTTAGGATGAAATCTATGTAGAGTTTTATACATGAGGCCCCTAGTCTGTAAAGAAACTCTAAGAAAATTGTTCTGCCCCTTTTTAAAACAACCAGTCAAACTTCAAAGTGTGAGTGTTTGATCTTTGAACACCACCGTGTATAAAAGAGGACGCAGCCTAAAATGAGACATACTACAAAATTGACACATTCATCATAACCAGGGCTCTTTAGTTCCCTTTCAATCGGTCACTACGAGTCACGTCGTGACCGACGAATTGGGATCTCGTTTCGAGAGACCAATCTACTTAAGAGTGTAAACTAAACGAGCCAATGGACATTGGCATGTGATGATTGCATCCAGCTGCCGCTGATCACAGCATGAGCATAAAAAGGTAGCAGGTGCAATGCATACCTAGCTTTTCGCTTTGGAGCCAAGCGATCACATCATTTTGCTCCTGACTACTCTACTGAGAGAAGAAGACTGAACGAGTTCAGAGCACGCTCATTGGAGCTCTTGGTGTTGGCGGTACGGCGCTTCAGTGGTAGTGGTTCCCGTGTCGGGTGGGTTGCACACATCAGGCTGCACTACCCCGATTGTGTTGCAGGCGGCCATCTCCCCTGTGCGCTTCAGCACGCTAAAAGAGCTTTTTTTTCTCTAAAAGAGCATTCACGGGTGCGTCTTTTTAAAGACGACGTTGCGTCTGACAAACTCGATGTTGCGTCTTTGTGAAGACGACGTTGCGTCTTGCTACAGACAACATATCACCCGTGCGTTTCTGGATGCAGTCGTTACCTGGCATCGGGTGATTGTCATGATCGCTGCCTCACGTGTCTGGGCATTAAGCATGTTGGGGTGTCGTTTGTGGATGAGTCATCTTCTCATTGCGGGAAGATTACCATCTCGGAGTTGCAGGCCAAGATCCGTTACCTCAAAAGGGGCGGAGCTCCGCTGCTTCTGCCTCGATCTAGTTCTCGTCATGGCGGCAGTCAGGCAGGGGCTACTTCAGGAACCAACCCTCGGGGGACCATCGCTCCTCTTGCACTCCGCAACCAGTTGAGCTGTCAAAGGAACGTGTTGGGCCTTCTACAAGGAGTGTACCAGCAGTATCCTTTGGCGCTCCTCCCAATGATCAGATGTCGATCGCTGCATCGGAGGGTGAGCTGGAGCTTTCTGGAGAGGAAGATTCGGCTGCGCTGTCCCCCTCCGGGACGGTAGCAATACCTGAATCAGATCTGGAAATGACAGCTATGCTTTCCCAGGCTGCCGTGAGGGTAGGGCTCGAGTGGAGACCTCCACCGTGTCCCAGGCCCTCAAGGTTGGACAACTGGTTCTTCCCGGAGGTGCATGAGGGGTTTACCAGGTTGTGGAAGGCACCTTTTTCTGCTGGAAACCGACCTGCTAACTCTTCCTCCTTTACCACTCTCGACGGTGGTGCAGCTAGGGGGTATATACGGGGGTCCCCCCGGTGGAGCGGTCAGTTCCAATGCAGTTGTGTCCTAATACCACCTCCAGCCGGCAGGGCAATCCGTGCCTCCCCTCCCGGGTCGGTAGGTACTCGTCTGGTCTGTCCAACGATGGAGGAGGGCCGGGTGGAGAATCTGGTTTCCAAAAATCTCGACAGGAGAGCAGTTTTCTCTATTTCTGGGTCCCAGGAGGGCACGGAGAGTCGCGGACGGACCCACACCGGACCACACTCATCCTCCTCCATCGCCAGCAAGCAGCAGCGGGCGGCGTCAACAAGGCCCTACTCACACACCCTCTGCCAAACTCTGTGGAACCAGGTAAGAGTTGCACCGCACACTTAGACCCCTCTTTGGTCTGCCCACGAGCCACCCGAGTTGGGTCCCTGCGTTCCACCTCACTGCCCCACTGCGGGTACGGCGGTGCCCTACTCATGCACCCTCTGCCAAACTGTGGAACCAGGTAAGCGTTGCACCGCACACTCAGACCCCTCTTCGGTCCCGCCCGAGTTGGGTCCCTGCGTTCCACCTCACTGCCCCACTGCGGGTACGGCGGTGGTTCCGCTGGTTTCATGGCCGAGTCCCGAGGTGGGCATGGCAGCGCAGCACTCACCGGGTTCAAGTTACACCAGCCTGTCGCCAAACCTTCAAACCCACTGGCATATCAATTGCCTAGAGTTGTTAGTGGTGCGCCTTGCCTTGAACTGTCTCAAAGGGCGCTTATGAGGCAAGCACGTGCTGGTCCGTACGGACAACACGGCGACCGTTGCGTACATCAACCGACAAAGTGGTCTGCGCTCCCATCCCATGTCGCAACTCGCCCGCCACCTCCTCCTTTGGAGTCGGAAGGTTCTGCGGTCACTTCGTGCCATTCACATTCCGGGTCTGCTCAACCATACGGCCGACGAGCTTCACGAGCTACGCTCCCAGGAGAATGGAGACTCCATCCCCAGACGGTCCAGCTGATTTGGAGACGTTTCAGAGCCGCTCAGGTAGACCTGTTTGCGTCTCCAGAGACTTCTCACTGCCAGTTGTTTTACTCCCTGACTGAAGGAACATTTGGCACGGACGCACTGGCACACAACTGGCCGCGGGGCCTTTGCAAGTATGTGTTTCCCCCAGTGAGCCTTCTCGCACAGACACTGTGCAAGATCAGGGAGGACGAGGAGCAGGTCCTGCTCGTGGCGCCTTATTGGCCCACTCGGACCTGGTTCCCGGAACCAATGCTCCTCGTGACAGCCCCTCCTTGGCAGATTCCTCTGAGGAAGGTTCTACTGACTCAGAGATGGGGCACCCTGTGGCACCCACATCCAGACCTCTGGAAACTTCATGTCTGGTCCCTGGACGGGACGTGGTAGTTCTAGGTGACCTACCCCAAGAGGTAGTTGACAGCATCACTTCGGCGAGAGCACCGTCCACGAGACACGCTTACGCCTTGAAGTGGAACCTATTCATCGAGTGGTGCTCGTCTCACCGAGAAGACCCTCTATACCCTCTTGGGACCTGTCTCTAGTGCTCCAAGCACCACAGCAGGCCCCATTTGAGCCTTTGCAGTCAGTCGAGCTAAAGTTTCTTTCAATGAAAACTCTGCTCCTGCTTACACTGGCCTCCATCGAGAGGGTAGGGGACCTGCACACTTTTTCGGTCGACGATTTGTGCCTAGCGTTTGGGCCAGCTGACTCCTAGGTGATCCGGAGGCCCCGGCCCGGCACGGCTATGTGCCCAAGGTTCCTACTACCCCCTTCAAGGATCAGGTAGTAAACCTGCAAGCGCTGCCCCCGGAGGAGGCAGAACCTAGCCCAAGCTTTGCATTGCTTTGTCCCGTCCGAGTCTTGAGATGCTACGTAGACCAGACGCAAAGCTTTAGGACCTCAGACCATCTCTTTGTCTGTCACGGAGGCCGGCAGAAGGAGAATGCCAGGGAATGCCGTCTCTAAGCAGAGGATGGCCCACTGGATAGTGGATGCCATCAACCTGGCTTATCAGGCACAGGATGTGCCCTCCCCGTTCAGGTTGCGACCTCACTCGACTAGAAGTGTTGCATCCTCCTGGGCACTGGCTCGTGACGCCTCGCTGGCAGATATTTGTAGAGCTGCGGGCTGGGCGACCTGTGTTCTCACCTCAAATGGGTAGAAGCACTGAGAGGCCCCGGTTTAGTGTCGGCTTGCTAAAACTGCTCCAGAGTGTCCGTACTGTAGACCCTGTCGAGCTCCTCCATCCCCTCGGCAGCCAGACGTGGTGGAACATTCAGTGCCAGGCCCTCACTCGATGAATCCGTGAGAACCGGTAGAGGGCTGGGTTCAATATGTAGAGACCTAAGTGGATCCCATATGTGTAAAGTCCACGGTATAGCCTCAGAGCCCGTGTTTCCCCGGCAGACTTCTGCCATTTCCAAGAGGGTTACGATCACCGCTAATCTTCCATATGCACCTAAACGGTTGATCATATGTGTAAGTGTTTCCGAAACCTCCTTCGGGATGGATGGGGCTTCCGTAACATTCCTGTTCCAAGTGGAACGTCCTGTCGCCATTTAGTTTACACTCGAAGTAGATTGGTCTCTCGAAGCGAGATCCCAATTCGTCGGTCATGATGTGACCGAGATGTTCTTTTAAATACATATTTTAATTTTATTGCATGATACTAATCTGAGCTTAATACATATACTGTATTAATATGTATACTGGATCTGTTTTACTTCTGTGAGCTTCAAGCGTTATTAGAGGACTGCAATATCAAATTAACATCTTTCTATTAAGGTTGTAAGTAATCCCTTAAAAAATGTAAGATCTTTACCAAACTAATGATAGCAAAACTATGTATACCTGTATTTTTTATTCTTACTGTGTTGTAGTATTTTATTAACAAAATTGAGTTGTTGTTGTTTTTTATCTTAGATTTGGATGTTAACAGGGTCAGTATGTTTAAATTGTTAGTGATCTAAAAGTCATTCATTTTGTCCATTCAAACACATTTGTTTGGTTCTGACTTCATACACGTGTTTATTTCTCTTTTAGATTAAGTACAGGTGTTACAAAATGAAGTCCAGAGTTTTGTATACCCTTTTTCTCCTCACATTTGAGCTTATACTCCCCCCCCCCCCCCCC